GAGTTTAGATCACTTAACTAGTATGCATTAGGTTACATGGGTCCAACCTAAACTCAAACTTTTTCTAGTTATTTTTTTCTCCTTTCTTCTCTCACAGAAGGTTGGGGGAAGAACTGGTAACTTTTCAGGAAAGAGAGAGGTAGGTGTCTTGGGATAATAGTTAAGGAGTTATTAAAGGTAGTTTATGCATACATAAGGAATTCTGCAAGGTTAATAAATATCTTGTCTAGTCTAGTCTAGGGTAAAACAGAGCTGAAGATATACAGTTCTCCCCAAGGAGTTCAGTCACAAATTTAATTAATGCATTATTTTTTAACAAGCTTCATCAGCATGAAAGCATGTCCTCTGGAATGGTGGCCGAAGCATGAAGGGGCATATGAATGTTTAGCATATCTGTAACAAATACTTTGCAACACCAGCTACAAAAGTGCCATGCAAACAGCTATTCTCACTTTCAGGTGACATTGTAAATAAGCAGGCAGCAGCCTCTCCTGTAAATGTAAACAAACTTGTCTGTCTTACCAATTGGACTGAGTGGACTTGTAGGCTCTAAAGTTTTACATTGTTTTGTTTTTGAGAGCAGTTATGTAACTAAAAAAAAAAGTCTACAATTTGTAGATTGCACTTTCCTGCTAAAGAGATTGTACTTCAGTAGCTGGAGGTGAATTGAAAAATACTATTTCTTTTATCATTTTTACAGTGCAAATATTTGTAAGAAAAATATAAAGTGAGCACTGTACACATTGTATTGTGTTGTAATAGAAATCAATATTTGAAAAAGTAGAAAAACATCCAAAAATATTTAATTGGTATTCTATTGTTTAAAAAAACTGCTTAATTGCACTGTTAATGATGATTATTGGAGTTAATTGTGCAAGTTAACTGCAATTAATTGATAGCCCTACTTATTTCATTTCCTGAAGTCATAAATGATACTGGAAACAAACTTTTGCTAGAATATGCTGCATCTCCCTTTCTAGGGTAGGCAAGGCATTCATGGTGGCTTTTATAGAACATAGGTATTCTAGAACCACTAGATCAGTTTTCCCTCTGTAGAAAGAGTGGCTTAGAAAAAAAATGCATCTGGAACTGCTTCTTTCCCATTGACTTTGAATACAGCTACATTGTGCAAACTTTAGCACATTAGGAAGTTCACAGCTGTAATAGTTGCAGTTAGGGGCCTCCCTGTGTTACCCTGCTGCAACTGGGCCCCCTTGTGCTAGTTACTGAATATAACCAGATTTCAAAAGACTGCATGATTAGAGTGAATGGTTATCCCCCTTTTACAGAGGCACAAAGCATAGAAGTGACTCAAGGGCTGGGAATAACCTAGGAGGTAAATGAGGGTGCTATGATAGCTCAAGTTTGGTCTGGGTTTAGAAATGACTCACAGGAGTAGCAGGGCTGTGAATAACCTAGGATATAGGTCATTTACCACCTCTCATAGCACCCTCCAGTTTGGCCTGGGTTTTAGATTAAAGAACTTTACAAATAAAACCGCTGCTCTGAACTATAAAAAGTGTTTAAACATGGCTATGCAAGACCCATGTGACAGCAACATAAGTCTCATTTTCAAAAAGTGACTTCAGCACTTAGGGCTTATGTCAGTTGTAAAGGAAAAGTTAGATCTCAAAGAGGTCCTGCAATGCTGAGTGGAGCAATGCCTAGATACCTTTAAGTATACAGGCCCCAATGTTTTTGCTTTCCCAGGGTATGTGGTACACTAAACAGAACCCATATCCTCTGTAGTATGGGCACTGTAGCACCTTCATTTGAAATTCAAAAGCTCTTGTTTTAATCTGTATTATGTTACAAGGTGGTTTGTTATGTATTTTTCATAGTGACTGAAACCTTTCCTAGATGACAGGAAGATCTGAGGCTGTGGGAAGAGCTGAATTACTCACCCCTTTAAACAAAAGAAATGGGGAGTCTGGGGGTAGCTTAAAGGCAACAGATTTATTTGGGCCTACACTTTTGTGGGTAAAGAATCCACTTCTTCAGATGCATCTGAAACAGGTTCTTCACCCATGAAAGCTTATGCCCAAATAAATCTGTTAGTCTTTAAGGTACCCCCAGACTCCTCATTCTGTATCCACACCAAAAAAACACCCCAAATCACTGCTATGCCTCTGATACTTGTCACCCTATGATGTGGATTTAGAAGACCTGCTGTGCCTAAGGGCTAAAACTGCATGTATAGCCTTTCACATTTCTAGCTCTGAAGTGTGGATTTATGCAACCTTGTTACAGACTCCAAGTGATTTTGTAGGTGTTTGAGATTTACACACACACTATGGCACATTCTCCCACCAGAATAACCACTATTTCATGTGCTCTAGGGCACAAATGTCACAGCCTCTCTAGGGCCAGCCCTGTTTTAGGATATGCACCTGGGATTCCTTTGCCTCATTTTCTCCTGGCCCCTGCCCCAGGACTGAGCAATCCAGGTAGTGTCTAGCCAACCTGGACTAGACTGGGGGTAGGAATCTTAAACTAACTGCACTGTTTGCTTTTCAGAAGTTGCTACCTGAAATCCCAAGTGCAATTCTACCACAGCCATATGAGAACAACAGTAACATTTCTGTTCTAAGTTTATCCAGAAACTAAAGCTTGTTGACAGGTGTGAGTAGTTGATCGAGAACTACTTAGAAATTAAGGCTCTAGATTTGGTTCTATGGTATAATAGGGGAAGCGGCTCAGGCTTCTAAGTGTCTACACACGAATGCCAGTGGTTGCCACTACTGAGAAACAAGGCTACATCTAGTATGACTAATCGCAGGCACAGATTTCTACTATAGAACTTGAAATCACCCCTTAGAAAGAACAGGTTAGACCTTCATTCAAATGCAGTGACATTTTATTTTGAAGACAGGGATATTAAACACAAACAAGTAGTATTGGAGCTGAGAAGTGACCTACATTATGGCAGTCACACCACCTCCAGACATTAGTGGAGATCTTGGCACAGTGCTTACTAGTACCAGCCATTGGTGTCTTTCCTGCAGAAGGAGGCTAGTACACATGTAGTCAGAAGGAAGACAGAATCAATTTGCCTTCTTCCTTAGAAGTGAAGTTTGATGTTTCTAGGCATCAGGTCCT